GTGACCCTCCTCTGGACCCGCTCCAACAGGTCTGTGTCTTTCTTACGCTGAGGGCTCCAGAGCTGGACGCGGGACTCCAGGTGGGGTCTCACCAGAGTGGAGTAGTGGGACAGAACGCCCTCCCTCGACCTGCTGGCCATGCTGCTTTTGATGCAGCCCAGGATACGGTTGGCCTTCTGGGCTGCGAGCGCACGTTGCCGGCTCATGTCCAGCTTTTCATCCCCCAGTACCCCCAAGTCCTACTTCTGCCCATGTCGGCAGGGAAAGGACCCTTGAGACAGGTCTTATGCTGTCTGTAGCCACCATGTCAACACGTGACAGAGCCCAGTCTCATCATCCAATGCTCCTTTGAAAGCCATTGAACTGCTGCTGTAAGGATGGTTCTACAGCAATGAGGCTACAATAGTAATCCAAGTAGGTGAAAATAAAAAGTATTCAGCAGATGCTAATACTGCATCTAGCACTATACAAAGAACAAGAAATGAGACCTCAGATCCTGGTGTAATGAAGGATCTGGTTGCAGTCGGCACGCTGTTCAAGAACCTATGGAGAAATCCTACTGTTTAAAGTTTTTAAGCCTACCTGTGATGTCTTGACAGAGGAAGTTTAAGATGTGACAGAACATGGAGTTGTACTGGCAGGCTGCAGGTAGCAGTAACCTCTTCATCCCCGAGAAACATCCAGAGCAGCACTTCTGACCAAAGCCACAGGGACTCGTTATTGTTCTCATCACTCGAAAAGCCTAAAGAAAAAGGATGGTCCATGGTTAGGAAGTCGAGGACAGACATTCTGGGTTTTGGTTTCCTTTCTTTGTCATATGTTTGCTAGGAAATTTTGAGCAAGGCACCTGCACGCCAGATGCTAGGAGAAGAACAGGAATTTCATTCTACATGAAATTCCCATGAAATTAGGGATATTCACACAGATATGGTGAATCTTGGCCTTATTCGCTCCACTCTTCCTGAAATAGAACAAAGGGCATTTATTAATTGCCCTGGTTGTTGAGAGGTTAAGAGCATTTAAAAACAGTGAGACATTCAGATAGTACAATAATGGGGAATGTAGAAGGTGAACGGCATCATAGATGTCACAGAGAACTTTCTTCCTCCTGTTTGTCAGTTTTATTTGTTTCAAAGGAGAAGAAACCAAAACCTAATCAAGACAATTATGAAGGTTCATTGAGTTTGTCTGTCAGCACAAAATCTTACGAACTTTTAATAGGAAAAAGAACACTTACTCAGAAGAATGTTTGCCAAGAAAAATGTGTGTAACTTAGGTGCCCTCTGTTGGCATCTGCAAAGCAGGTTTTTTTGAGCAGCTGTTCCAGTTCTCCTCTGGAAGAAGACAAAAAGACATCTCACTGCCCTCACTTACCAGTCTTTTCATTTGTTTAATAAAGTATTTCAAAGAAGCGAAAATTATTGTTGCATTTTATTCTCAGCAAAATAAAGTGCCAAAGTGAAGGCTATCATGTCGCCAAAATCTACCAAACACTTAGGCTTCATTTTTCACAGGTACTGCTTCAGAAAAAAAAAAAAAAGATTTTTTGAATTATTTTTTTAAATCAATTGAAAGGGAGTAAAATTCTCCTGGGGCTGTTACATGATTAAATATCCTTCCTTACAAAACGCTGAATAGTTCCCACATGTGTTATATACACGATGCAGCACCGTATGGCGGAGGCAGGAAGCGAACAGAAGAGTTTCTCTCGCTGTAGGGAAAAGAAACAGTAAACAGAATTACATGCAAGTCAATTGTTTGGTTTCGCACAGATTTGCAACTGGACCATCACATTCTGCGGCTTGTAGCTTCAGACCTTGGCGTTTCGAAGGGAAATGGGGATGAGACCAGTATAGATATGTAAAATCAGTATCTTACATGGCTTCTACCTGAAACTAAAGCTCACCCAGGAAATCATGGCCAAGGGTTCATTGAAAACTCAGTGCCATGTTTGCTTAGTTTTGATCCCATGTCCACCTCAAATCAAAACGATTCCTAGATTCCTTATAACTTTATTTCATGGTATCCAAAAAACTCAACTAGAAATTGTTACGGAAACTGGAATGTTAAGAAACACAGTGCCTTTACACACCTACAGAGCAGGAGTTAATCTAAAGAGCATCAGCTAGAGACACAAAATAACGTGCAGTGCTGTTCTCAAGTATGTAAATGTATGCAAAAAGGGATTTTATTTCATTCATCCAGTCCTTATGAAAATTCTGTCCTGCCTGCATTCTGTGTTACGGGATTTTGTTGGGATTTATTAGTACTCCTACCTCTCAAGGTGTTCACTAAGTCAGTAAAAGGGCATTGCTCTGACTCTGAGGAGATCCAGCCTCGTTTCCTGATTGGCACTCATCTTTTCTAGGTCTGGCTTCTGGAGATGAATGCAAACCCAGCATTGCATACCAACTGCAAAGTCTTGAGAGACATCATCCCAACTGTAGTCTACGAGAGTCTTGGTAAGTGAACAAGTCACAGGGCGGCCAGCAGCAGAAAATCGTATCACTCCATTGCTTGTCAGAGGAAAGACTCCTGTTTATATCAGCTGTAGGTCCAAAACAGTCTTTCAATAAAGATATATTATAAGCAATTTGCAAGGCACTGAAAATTCTAATCCACACAGACCTAGAAAAGCAATGGTCTTTTTAGCCATGCACCCATTAGAAAGAAATAAGTGGTTAATTTTTTTTTGTTATAATTATTTTTAAGAATGTTTTCTTATATATTTATGTAGACAAGGCTAAATCTTAATACGTGACCCTATAAACTGCACCTGCACATTTTTCTCATGCCTGTTGTTCTGAATGTGCAGGAATTTAAGTTGGTTTTTACAGCGTGCCTTACACAGCCGTGGCAGTGCTTAAATGCCAGTGTATCCCACTGTACTTCGCAAATATAGCTGACAACTGTTACGTGAGCTATACAAAGACTGAAAAAAATCCTTACGCAGTCTGATACACATTAACTAGAACTGCTCCTGCCTGGAGGACCAAAATCTCTTTCACGCCTGATTTTCTGTGATATCACTGTACGTGTAAGGAGAAGTAGTAAAGGGAGAGTCTATGTCTGCATGAAGGGTATTAGCAATAGCCTACTTACGCCTACTTTCATAGATACAGTCACCCTCCTGTGCGTATGTATGTTTATTCTGGGGCGCGTTCATATTCTGTACTGCATTGTAAGCAGTTTTACAATTCTTTTCCTACCAATTTCCTGAAATGTTTCTGGTGGAGCTGAAGCTGGCTGAAGTGAATGCAAGAAAAGTGTGGTGTTTGGGTTTTTTTTTTTAAATTGTCTTAATAGTAATAGTCCACGGAGGTCACAGATCACAGGTTGGAAACCACTTCCCCTCCGCGCCCCTCATCCTTCCCGCGCACACAGCTGCTTTGTGCATACACATGACAGCTTGGGTGTATTTTAGCGTCAGAGCCTTTAGTAACCGCATCTTCTTTTCTAGATTTGGTTCTCGAGGTTTTCAACAAGTGCCTCAAAGGCCAGAGGGTTTTGCCTTTAGACACACTCTGCCATTTTGTGCTTCTCTATCACGAGGATGCTGCAGACCTTGGCCAGAAACAACCCTGGAAGCTCAGAACTGGCCTGTGTACAGGCCGCTTTCTGCGGCCACAAACAGGCAGTACCAGCCGCTTCGGTCAGAGCCCTGCCAAAGTGCTGGAGAAGTCTTCCAAGAAGCTCGGTTGCTCTAGAAAAAAGGTTGCCTTGCTGTCCAGAAAGAATTGTCAACAATTGTCCTAACTGTACCGCACGCGCAGCTCTTCGACCATCATGGAAAAACCCTCTGAACCATTACAGAGCAAGCGGGCTTTCACAAGTTCAGGAGACCTAAAAAGAAAATAAAAGCTAGACTTGTATGTGCTGTCCACGTCCAGCTCATTTTCATCTTACATAAACAAACAGGTATCAACTTCAACTGGAAAACCAGTAACTGTTTCTTTAAGTTCTTAGTTCTTCTGCAGAAAGCTTTAACCAGCCAGCCAGAAATTATAGGGAAGTTACAGAAAATGAGACAACTGTTGCCACATTAAAACTCATCCCGTTTAAAAACAATGTTGATCTGACCAGTGCAATCCAGAAACAGGCCAAACTTTCTACATACAAAGTCCTTACACAAAGAGGCAGGGAGAGAAGCTGCAAAGACTAAACCTAAGGCTTAACAGTGGAAATCCCCCACTTCGTCCCATCATTCGTAGCTGGACGTCCAGCTCCCTCACTCATTAGATCCTCTGTGCCTTGCTCATTTAACCTGGTTATATTAAGGCTCTCTTTCATTTTTCGTTTGGTTGAGGTGACAGCCAAGCCGCAGCACATACTTATGGTATCAGGCCCCCATCTCGGCAGGAAACAATGACGCTTGGGGGACCAGGGAGACGGGGAGGAAGGGAGAGAGGTTTAAAACCAACAGGAAATGCTTCTGCATCTCAGACGCTGCTGCTTCTAACCCAAGAGGAATTTAAATGAGCAGTAAGTTGAAGGGTACATGCGTGTTTCCTTCCCCTCCCGTGCTCATTCTAAGTGACAGTAGTTCAGGCACATTCATGTGATCTTGTGATGCAGCATCAGTTCGAAGCAAGCATCTGTGGAGGGGGGAGCCGGTGACCAAGCATGGGATGCTGCAGCCTGAGCGCCAGGCAGGCTGGGTCTGCAGGAACAGGCCAGGATGAGGTGGAGCTGCTGAAGACGGTCAGGACCAGGTAGGTAGCAATTTTGGGGGCATGTGAAAAAACCCACTCAGCTCCACGCAAACAGAAAGACATTCGGTGCTTGAGACAAACTCAGTGGCTGTATTTACTGTCCAAATATGACTCCCTTAAAGGAAAAGCTTTCTCTTCTTCCCTTTTTCTAGCCAGAATTTACAGTAACGCTAAGTGTCAGACTCACTTAATCTTCTAACTAGAGCCTGCTTACTTCTCCTCAGTATGTCCCCCCAGGTGTCACGGTCTTTTAAGATAGAGGGTCAGCATTTGAGAAACTGAAGGTGGAAACCTTCCTTCCTGCCATGGACGTAATTCTCTCTGTTTTGGGCGGGCAATCACAACTAACTCCTGGGGCTCTGGCAAGCACGGCTCATGTTTTGTCAGAAATTGATGTTTTCAGTCAGACTGTCACATGTCAGAGAGAGATCGGAGGCCTGAAAAGAAGCTCAGGAGGGCTTTAGTCCTGCTTCCACCTCTGGAGCAGCCTCAGCTCTTCCTAAATCTTGCTTGACAGATGCTTGTCTAACCTGTCCTTGAAAACCTCCAGTGATGAAGGTTCTGCAATGTCCCAGGCAAGCCATTGTTTCTTCCTAATAGCTAACCTTTAATGCAGGTAAGGCCATTGTCTCGATCTTACGCACCACAGACAAAAAGAAAAAATCGTTCCCCTCCTCTTTCTAGAGGTCTTTTACATACGTGAAGACTGTTACCATACCACCGCAGTATTCTTTACTTTAGGCCAAGTGTTGAGCTACGTTATACATTTCCTTCCATAATTTCACCATATTACAAGAAACGGTGTTATTCCTTCCTCGTCCATGAAAGCAGGCACACTGAAAGTGCCTTCATCACCCCTACACTCTTTTCTATGCAATGTCAGTGGAAAATTAGGAGTCTAAGTGCTCTGTTGAATTTAGGACCTAGTCTCTGCTTAATGTGAGGGGACATTTAGGGGTATGTTCTCCAAAAGTTCAGGTGTGCTATTCCCTGACATGCCTGCTTTCTGATTCTGCATCTGCTGCATTTTTTTTCCTAGAGTTCACTGAGCTGTTTCCAACCAATATTCCTGCCGAAAATAGCATATTCTAAAATACACCAAATTTCTGCTAGAAATCCATTTGTCTGCTTGCTGAGCATTAATCTCTCTCTCTCTTTGAAAAAATGCAACACATGTAAGTGCTTTTCTATGCCTTTCCATATTCTCTTCCATTTCAGAAAGTGGTCCAACTCAGAAGGCCAGAGTGAGGCATCCCTCCATCCTAAGGACCCTGCAATCCTGGCAGAAACAGAAGATGTGAGTATGAGCAGGGTCATGCAAGCAAAGACTTGTATGTAGAATCAAGGAAGAAATCAGAGGCCTATTTATCTCACCCACCATGGCATTATCCTGATGCGTTATCCCATTACAGTAAAGTGCCAGAGGCTATGACATGCCCTCTGTTTTGAAAGCAAGTGACCAACAGTTCTCTCTGTTTTGAGGCCCAGGCATAGTTTTTCAGCTTTTGTTCTACAATTTCACATGCAAGAAAGTTTGTCATCACAAGTCAGTTTTGAATTTTTTCCTGGCATGATGTTTTATCACCACTGTTGAGAGAAGATGGTCAGAGAGAGGGGAAGGGGTTTAGGCGAATTCACATATATGGTCAACATCCAAATCTCCCACCGCCTGGGCTGCAAAACCACCCCTTCTCTCTTTTAGCTAGTGTTTAAATCATTATTGTTTGGCTCTCGTTTCCATTTTTCCACCTCTACTTGTCTTACTTTAGAGGATATTCCTGGTAAGATTACCAGAAGAAACGCATGCTAATGTTTGTTTGTTTCAGGCAGAAGTACTGTGGGGAAGAACGCGGGAGGAACTAGTGAACTTGTTGATCACACAGCCTATCAGCGGCTGGGAAGGGATGAACATCCACTCTCTTGGGGAAATTATTTGGTCCTCCCTGGTTTTTCTGAGAAGTTATTGCATGGAGGTAATCATCCTTTTACTCTAACCACTGATTAATACCCAAGGGATAAGGTGGAGGTAAATTTGGATTTCATACAGCCTGTCCAAATAACTGTCAAATCCCAGGGCTTGACTAAAGCTACAATTTGTCCTGACCTTTGTTTTCAAGAGTTAATGCTAATACGTTCAACTTTTTTCACCAGTGCCAGCAAAAGCTGAATGGATTTCATAGCCACTTCCTTGAGCAGCATGAATCTTTTCATTCATCCCCCAGGGGAAAAAACAGGGTTTTTTTGTCAGAAGTTTCTTGTATACTTTTCCCCAAAGAGATAAGGACTGGTTATTATGGTTGCAAATTTGTTTGTGTAACGATCAAGCCCTCTCCACAGGTACTGGGGGCGACTGGTAGAAGTGTGATTGCCGTTACCTTGGTTTTGATGGGGTCAGAAGAGGGAAATGAGATCTAGTCTAACTTTGCCATGGATTCACGCCTCTAACTGCACATCACTGTTTATCTGGCTGTATGCACACGAGTAAAACCACCCCGTCTCACAGGAATGCCATGGCCTGGCTTACCAGGGCTCAGAGAGCACATAGAGACTATTTAAGGGAAGATGATATAAAATTACAAAGTACTGACATAAAGCTTCAGTCAAACTGCGACCTAGTGCAAGACAGTCCCGCAGTTAAACACGGCATCGTTCCTAGTTACCAACTAGTCACTAAGCATGACAGCCTATCAGCACTCTGTACGTGCGTTAAGTACTGCATCAGCAGAAGGGAAGGGAAGGTGAAGAGCTTTGAAGAAATATAATTTCCTTTTTCTAAAAAAAAATTGGAAACATTTTGGAGGAAAGATATAATTGATCTTATTTCAGCAGGAGATGTGTGAATGCTACATTGTGCTGTCCTCCTTCCACTTGCTGATTCTTTCAGTGGATCGTACAAAGAAGGCATTTGTTTATGAGGTAAAGCACAAGAATCCTTTTGTGTCTGTTGTATCCATGTTCATATTCAAGATTTCCTAAATACCTCTTTGCTCATAGCTCTAGCAGGTACATGGCAAAAAGAGTACCCACCCTTGGTGCCCGGCCAAGAGGAAGGCTCAGGATGGAGCAAACATTTGCAGGGCCCATCAGCCAAGACAGAGACACTTCACTGAGTTCAGGGGAGCTTTGGCATGTTTTCTAGCACAGTAGCTCACAATTCTCCATTTTTCAGCTTACTTTGAACAGGGGAGGGAGTCTGCTCCAGGGATTGAAAAGGGAGTGCCAGTTTCTATTTATATGCCTACTTCTAGGATCTATAATGTTAGCTGGCCTCTTATCATTTGTTTACCCGGGGAGAGGGACTGCAACTCTGTAGGAGCGAGCTAAGTGAACAAGGCATCAACCAGGAGGTATCGAAAGAAGGTCATAAGAACAGACATGGTGTACCAAGGAGAGACATAATCCAGAATCCATAGCCGCCTTCAGCACAGCAATGTCTCCTGATGGCTGTCTTTGGTATATGCCTGTGGATCCTAAATGTGAGAAAAAAAGAGCGCCAAACTGGGAAACTTCGTAACTACAGAAAGAAGGTCCTTGATCTGTATAACACTGGAGTCGATAAAAATCTTAAGTCCCTCCATCAGTTAGGATTGGTGGTGCAAGAGGACACAGAAAAGAAATCGTCAGTTTATGAAATACAGCATCCAAAATGCAAACTAGGGCCTCTTTGTCCTGAACATGAGTGTAGTCTTCTAGCATGGTTTGGGGCGTGGGGCAGGAATTAAAGAGGGGGAGGCTGCAAGGCAGATGCAATTCCATCTAGTTCATACAAAATACTTTTCAACACCAGCCTTGGACTATTGGTGGAGCTCACCCCTATATCTCAGAGCACTTTATGAAGGGGGACAGTCATTTTACAGGTAGAGAAACACGAATAACCCCCCGATTTCCTATGTCTTCAGCTGAGCTGAATGTCATCCCACACAGACTTCTGTAAGTCAAAGGTTCGAAGGATGGGAAATTCTTTAGCCTGGCTTGCAGAAAAGCATTCCGCTGTACATCAGAGGGACCGCAGTGGGACGCAAAGAGTTTGTTGTTACCAACCAATTTCTAACACAACTCCCTACCCTACCAGGGTCTCCTTCCTCTTGCTGGGATGCGTCTGAGAGAGATTGCGAGTGCAATCAGCCACACATTTGAAATTTCTGGTAAGCCTGTTCCGCAGTTCCTGAAGGGGCCTGTGATAGTCACAAAGCAGTGATACCCATGCTCTAGCCTTCAAGGACTGGCCTACGTGGCTAGAAGATGAGAGGGGCTATGCAGCCGTGAGCAGGTCTATTGAAGAAGGGACATGCCTCCTCTCCAACATTCAGCCATGCTGGAGAATATGCCATGCCTTTCTGGGCTGGACTCTCACATGCAGCATATGCTATAGTTGCACAGAGGGATGAGACACGGAAGGAATTCAGAATCTTAGTTTTTGCAGGTAGACACAACTGCTGCACAGCCTTAAACCAAGAATGCCTTAGGGTTAACCAGAATTCCCCACGTGCAAGGCAATATAAATTATAGGTTCCCCTTTACTCTAATTTTCTACTTAAACTAAACAGGAGGCAAATGCTGATGTCTGCATTTAGAACAAGGAAGCTACCTAATTGTGCCAGTGCCACCCCAGTACCTGCCATCAAGAACAACGCAAGACAGACACGAGCTTGTTTCACCATGAGGTATCAAAGCACAGGTGGAATGTGGCTATAGAGAAAATGAACGACAGAGTGGAGGGGCAGCACACAGAATTCACCCGCTAGGCTCAAAGGCAGGTCGCAACCACCCTCCCTCAGACCCAGGGCCCGTATGTTTCTTTGCACAGGGTCCATGATAGAATCCAGGCTCATCTGCTGCCAGAATTCAGCTGACTTCGACATGTGGGTTCAACACCTCCAGCACCAAATCAAGATGGCAAACGCTCACTGCCCAGCCTGTCCCAACAATAATATCTCTTTTCTGGTGAGTCAATGCAGAAGAGATGTGAAGGGAATGGGATGAAAATAGGAAACTGTGGCAGCTTTGAAAGCGAACGGGGTTTTTCAGGGATTTTTAGAATGCAGGCTGGAAATGAACAGTAGTGTTACTTGAGGATGCTGTTCTAGGCTGTGGCAAGTAAACTTGCTACACGCAAATTTGCAACTGCTACTCTATGCTCAAGAGAGATTTTAGAAAAATTACTGGTCGTTTTTGTTCCTGGGATGTAACTACTCCGCCGGTAAAAAAAATTACATTTCCTTTCAGTTACAGTCACAAAATAAAGACTTTTTGATACATGCTGACTGTCGCACAAGCGACACACTGCACGCTGCAACATCCACAAGGGTCACAAGATGGCAGGATTACACTGCCATTGGAAACACCCACACAGCTGTGCCTTGGGGAATTCACAGACAGCAACGCAACGAGCCCTCCCAAAGCTTTTGCCCATGTCGTGGTACCCTCAGGTTCCTGAAGGGTAAAAGTCAGCTGGAAAGCCAGCTTGTCATTCCCCGCTCCCCAGTGTTATTTACTAACAGTTCTGCTAAGGTTTCCCCCTTTTTAAACCTCCACTCTGCTTGTCCTTGATGCCACCCCTGGAAACATTCCAGGTCAGGTTGGACGGGGCTCTGAGCAACCTGATCTAGTTGAAGATGTCCCTGCCCACGGCAGGGGGCTTGGACTAGATGACCTTCAGAGGTCCCTTCCAACCCAAACCATTCTATGATTCTAGCATGGCACAGACTTTAGGGCGACACTGTACCTTAGCTGTGTCTAACAGCATGCTTGTCTTCAGTTTGGGGGAAGAAAGTGCAACCCAGACTACCCATCCTTAAGAGCTGCTGATTTCTGATGTTCCCTACGGTTCACGTAATTGTTTGTAGCTGGTGCATACAAGCTCATGTTACAGTAGTTAGCTCAGGTGGTCCTGCTCTAAGGATTCAATATAGATTGCAGCAATCCGTCCAGGACTCAGCCCAGCCCTGCACACCGTGAGCCCACATCGAACCCCAGCCCCCTGTTAGCTGGACAGCACTACTCTGAAGGAAAATATCCCCCAATAAAGGGACTTGAATGCCAAGCCCAAAGTGCTTTGAACTAAGACGAAATTCGAATTCAAATCAAACCAGTGTCTCGGACAACCTCTTCTGAGAGGGAGAAGGAAAATGAGAACTTTCCCTTTTAATAGCTAAAGCTGTTCGGTTGTCTCACCTGCTGCTCATGAAACGACAGTACACATGATTTAGTTCAAGTAGGTAGGAAACCCACAGCTAACTAGGAACTTCATCATGGGTTTCCCAATTTCCAAGCATATATATATATCCTAAATACCTTTCTTTCACCACCCTATAACCCTGAAAAACATCATACTTGTAGTTTTATCTCATTTTGCTCTGTCCCCCCAAAAATGAAGGTGCCGTGTGACGAACAGTGGAAGAAAAGGGAGCTGATGAGACATCTGTTGTGTAACACCATTCTGAAGTGGGAAGGAAAACCTATTCAGCATCTGGGAAGGATACAGCATTTGACCATGGTGCAAGTGGCTAGTGGCTGCATGGGGGTAACGTACAACATATGCCACTCTGACATGTGGGTGGCTTTAAAAAGACGGGAACCAGTGAAAGTTTAGGCTCACGTGGAGCTGATGCTTAAAGAAAAGGAAAGAAGAAGGAGAAAAAAAAAAAGGCTAATTATGTCAAAGTCCCACAGTATTAAAGAGACAAAAGGAAATGCAGTTGTTTCTGAAAGATAACCCTGAAAAACATCATACTTGTAGTTTTATCTCATTTTGCTCTGTCCCCCCAAAAATGAAGGTGCCGTGTGACGAACAGTGGAAGAAAAGGGAGCTGATGAGACATCTGTTGTGTAACACCATTCTGAAGTGGGAAGGAAAACCTATTCAGCATCTGGGAAGGATACAGCATTTGACCATGGTGCAAGTGGCTAGTGGCTGCATGGGGGTAACGTACAACATATGCCACTCTGACATGTGGGTGGCTTTAAAAAGACGGGAACCAGTTGAAAGTTTAGCTCACGTGGAGCTGATGCTTAAAGAAAAGGAAAGAAGAAGGAAAAAAAAAAAAAAGGCTAATTATGTCAAAGTCCCACAGTATTAAAGAGACAAAAGGAAATGCAGTTGTATTTCTGAAAGCTGCTTCTGACAACGTGTCCAAACAGTTGCACTCAACTTCCGAGGGAGTAGAGCTGGGAGGGATAGTCCACCCCTTTCCAGTCACACAGCAAGATCAACATTTTCTAAACGTTTCCTTGCAGATGTGTGCCTGACCTCTTCTAAAAAACCCCCTCACCACTTTGTGATATCCTATCAGCCTTCTAAGCAATGAATATCCAACCTGAATAAGAAATACAAAGAATAGTATCCGTGGCTGGCGCAGGAGCAACTGGGTGCTGCAGACAGTTCCGAGTTTTGGTGTATTGTCAGTCATTAAACTTCATATTCTGCCTTTGACCGAGATGGATCCACTGAGTGGAAGTTATTGAACGTTTTTGCTGTCTCTAAGATGCCTCTTTTCCACAGGACTCTGAGGAACGACTGCTGATCCTGTTTCCAGAAGATCTGCTTTTCCTCTCTGTGGATGAGGACAGAACTGCAATCACGTACAAGGTAACAGGAAATCCTGGGCAAATAAGTGAAGAACTAAAAGGAGCTGGAGCTAGTGATGAAAATGTCTGACTAGCAAGGAGAAAAGGGGGAAGCCAAAGGAAAAGCACCTTTTTTCTTTTCTTCTTTGAAGGGAAGACTCCCCCTAACTGGAATCCAGGCAAAGGAGAAATCTGCTCTGCTGGGCAGGTTACAGTTTGAAATTACAGGTACGTAACTGAAAAAGAAAGATGAGAGCTATGAAACACGGGAGGTTCTGTCTGAACGTAGGGAAACAGTTTTTTACTGTGAGGGTGACTGAGCACTGGGACAGGTTGCTCAAAGGTTGGGGAATCTCCAACCTTGGAGATACTCAAAAGCTGTCTGGACATGGTCCTGGGCAACCGGTTCTGGGTGGCCCTACTTGAGCAGGAGGGTTGAACCAGGTGACCTCTGGAGGTCCCTTCCAACCTCAACCATTCTGTGATTCTAATGAGAAACTGAGCAACACTGGTGCTCAGGCTTGCCTTGAGGATGGGTTGTCTTCCCACAAGGGATAGTCTCTGTGACTTTCCTTGCTATAGGCTAATAAACTGTGTGTCGTGGCAAACTTTGCACACCTCTCCATCACCAAACTTTTTCCTGCTAATGCCTTGCAGGAAGCCTGACAGAACCAATCCTTATCACCTGTTCCACAGCAGAGGATTATGAAAAATGCCTCTTCTACCTACAGAAGGTATTTTTCAGAGAACTTTACTGCAGCAATATCTCTTTTCAAGCCTGGGACTTTCCCAGCCATAGATTCATCTAAGATCTATCATCCTCCCAACTTTTCTTCTCCTTTTCCACAAAAGACTCACCTGAGTAGAGAGTTGTCTTCAAGCCTATCTTTCTCCCGATAAGACTCATCCATTTGGCCAGTAAAATACCAGTGGATATTTAAAAAAAGAAAAACACTCTGTCAGCAGGGGTTGAATTTGGGTCCTCTTAGGCAAAACACCTACCTACTCTAGGACTGAAAGACTGATACCTAAGCTTGCTGATACTCCACTTGCACTGATTTCAATGGAAATTACATACTGAAATAAGCAGAACTACTGAGGGAAGGAAGCAGGCCACCGGGCTCTATTTCATGAAGCTAGAGACACATTATGTCACACTACCTCCTAAAATACCCATGAGTGCACTACCAGCTTATGACCTGGTTCCCTGGAAGTTACAGCCATGTAAACAGGAGTTAGTTCCAAGTAGGTCCTTCAAAATAGGACCTTATCAGGTTCTAGTTTTCAGAGTCAATCATTTTTTGTTGGCCAGCACATATAGCACACCCTACACAGTGGACAACCCTATCTTGGCTCAGAGGAGAGAAAGGTGAATCAGGAGTGGATGCTTTAAAAGCAGAAGAGATGTTGGGCTCTGAGTATTTCTTAATCAATATGGCTATTCTATAGTTGAGCGTGGCTATGTTTATCTAGTGTGTAAATTCTTGGCAGATTTAGGATATTCATGTGATGAAAATATCTTCCAGCCAGAGAAAATCCTTGATCCTCTGACTCTCCAGCCACCACCAATCATCCCTAAGAAAACCCGGCAGCATCAGTAGGACATTAGCATGCAATGATGAGGAGGCATGCTGAATACGATCCCAACAGAAACTGAAGAAGCTGCAAGAATGAGTAAGAATAGACTGGAAATGGGAAACCAAGCTGCGCTCAGACTGAGAGGTGAATAATGGTCTGCACAGGAACTATTCTCCACTGGCTGCTGTTTTGAATGGGCCACTGGAATCACTGTAGGATCTTCTGATTCTGATCTCAGCTGTACATATGCCTCAAGGAGAAATCTTTTTCAATTTTCTTACTATATTTATTGCCTGTTTCTTATCAGAAAAAGAAACATTGTAAAATACCGTGTAAATACTACAAATAAAACCCATTCACCTGAGCCTAAACCATGTGTAGAAAACAGCATTCAGGTAGCTGTTGGTTTGGAGAGCCACTGCCTTCCTTTGAAATGGCAGGCATAGTGCACTTCTTGATGGTGAACAGCCCCTTTTCTATGGCTTTTCTTCCCTGCCCAAATCAAGAAGGAATGTTAATCCTGGAAGTTTTCACAAACCAAAAATTGTTTCCCCAAATACTCATTGCTGTCTTCTACCCTCCAAGAAGAACAAACCAAAAACCTCCAGGTTGAATCAAATCTATTAATTTTGACGATTTCAAAGTATTTAATTTGGATTTTGAACACCTTAAGAATTTTTTCCCCACTTTACATACATGTAGCACTGAAGAGGAAGCATTGCTACAAACGAAAACAACCAAGCGTTTAATTCCAAACAGTTCTCAGTTATCTGAAGGTTAATCATCCAGGCTGCATCCATGATATAGCTGCAAAGTCACCTGAACAAGCTTTGTGTGGTCCCACGATCCCTGATCTATCCCAATTTTTCCTTTATGCAGCCTACGCTGGCCACGTGTAAATCAAGAAAACAGACAGCTACGTGTACTGCAAAAAAAATTTCAACAATTTTAGAAGGAAAAAAAAAAAATCTAACAAAGGTGTGACCACAAGCACCGTAAATAATGAGTCTCTTTTCCTGAGGCTTTTAAGAACTGAACACCTCTGCCGGGTTGGGCTGAAACTAGGCGATAAGTTGAAAAGTTGTTTGGAAAAACAGGTGTGTAATCACACAATTGCTTAATTTCCCTTTCCTTGGGAAAGGCGACAAAAAGAATTAAGGACAGGAAGTCCCGTGAAAATATTGTTTTACCTTCTTCAGTTTCAAAACACTAATAATTTGCAGGAATCATGCGCAGACGTGGCAGCATAACAAAACACTGTCTGCACGTACCCTTCGTTGCCTTCTGTTTGAGCAAAACCTCTAGCACGAGAAAAGCCGTTTCTATACCTCAAGCATTTCTCTTATCTTCTTATCCTTGTGAAAGTTACTCTTTCGCTCTTTTGTGCAGCTAAAAGATGAAGAAATCCCCAGAGCTCACTGGGGCCCCAAACACCCGTGATCATTATTTATGCATGTAAGCGAATGACTATATAAAAGGGTATCGCCTTATTCTCCTAACTGCTGCCCTGCATTTCCTAAAACTGTGTGGGAAGGTCTTTCTCTGAATCTGAACAGCAAGCCACTTCTAAGCATCAAACATTGTTTTAATCAAAGTTTAAAACTTTGTGTGAAGAGTGTGAAGTTTCATAAACATTTACACATAGAGAAAATCCTGAAGAACTGTAGATCCAGAAGATTTTTTTTTTTATTAAACTTTTGGAGAAGGTGCACAAAAACAAAGATAGAAAGATAACGCCTCTCCTCTGCTAGGTGCCATTCCCCTGCCCTGAAATTTTGCTGTCATACCTTTTTCATTTTAGAAGTCAAACTTTGAGAACACAGATCCAGATTAGAAGCACAAAACGCTAAATGGCGACACTGGATGTGGCATCAGGAAAACAATGTACATTACTCAGAGAAAAGCTGCTAAACTTGGTTCTAACTTCAGAGCTAGGTCACTGGAAGATCCCAGAACTCGCAGCAATCGGAGGTTCCCCTCCTGAAGGCCGGTTTCGGTTCTCACTATGCCAGCCACCTCCCCCTTCTACGGGGGCAGGCAAGGGAGCTTCAGGCACGGCTAAGTGGTGTCAGCTTCTAAGAAATCACAAACCGTGTTATATTAGTAGCTTCTTAAAATTTGTCAGTGGTGTTCTTTTCTAAGTATTATTAAAGCACATGTGCTAAAAGAGCTGGCTCTTAAGATGGTGAAAGATTTTGCTGACCGGGTCTGAGACACTCGACACACCCTGGCAGCGTGAGGCTGTCTCAAGTAGAATGGAAAGCAGAACGAAAAGGCACGCTTTTCAGCATGTAGGAGACTTCTTCCAACTCTGTTGTATAAACAGAATTGTTCAGAAATTTCTTAGATAAGCGCTATCCGCTTTTCAGAGTCCTCACTCATATGGAGGCTGCAGCGGGACACATCTGTGCGCAACACTGTTTTTATCTACCGTTTCCTCAACGAACAAAGGCAACAGCGCTGGCTGCACGACAGAGGTTAACAGCCGGGCAAACCCCGTGAAATGCTATCACAGTTGAACGCAGAGCCCTCCGAGTCCGGGAGCAGGCAGCCTGCCTCCGTGGAGAAGGGGTGCAGAGGCATTCCCCAGCCTCACAGACAGACAGACACCACCACCACATCCAACCCCAAGACATCACCCGAGGGTTGCTTCTCTTACAGCCAAAGACGGACACCGCCAGCAGAGCTCCACGTCACCAGCTACCCCAGAGCCGAGGCTGATCGGCATGACCCGATGGGCAGACAGCCTCCCCTGGGCTGCGACACCCAGCCCGCACCCGCCATGGGGGAGAGACACAGCCCTCGGAGCGGCAGCTACCTCTGTCCTTGGCCGCTCGGCGGCTGCAGCAGCGGCGGCGGCAGCACAAACCCAGCTCCCACCCCCGGCCCCCGATGCCCAGCCGGACGGATGCGATCCACGTCCTTACCTCTTGGATGGATTCAAGGGTGCGAAGTCAGGGACAGCATGAAGATTGGTGGTGAGGGCAAACTCTCCCCAGGCTGCTATGACAAAATAGGCACCTAAGAAAGACTCCCGCTAAATGGCAACAAGTCTTTACTCATCACTGGCAGCTCAAGAGCTTTTTTTACAATTAGATTCCTCAGCTCATAGGACAACTCAAAGACAAGCTTAAGATAAGTGCTGGACAAATCCTAATAAAACACAGACTACGTGCTACCAACTGTCCCACAAAAAATTGCATTTTTTTCCATAAACAAGCTTTTAAGCTTCACCTACGTATCGTGTAAAACAGTTAAGCCATAATTTAATGTTGTCGTTTTGGAGTCTGCATATTTGCCTTTTTGTTAGCACTGTCAAGGAACACTTTTTTGTTTTTTTAGATATCACCATATATCATATTTTAACTATTTACTCATGACAATAACTTTAATGAAACGTATTTCTGAAATTGCTTGATCACAGCCTCTAGAGAAACTTTGGGATATTTTTCAGGGATCAGGGATTTTTTTTTTTCTCTTTTGAACAGAGATTAAAGCAAAAAAAAAAACAACATCACAGACATTTAATTGGATGTAAATGATTCGAGGGAGAAGCCTTTTTTAACCTACAGTCCATATACAGAAATCAAGCTGAAGTTCAAATCAGAACTTGAAAAACCCCATAAACTCTGGGATTTGAGCTGAAAATTCAGCCATGATCTGATTCAAATATTACAGTAATTACACACTGATAAAATAAAGCTATCATTCTTTCTAAGTGGAAACAAATATTGTGTTTTCTTACAAGCTCACTGTTCTGAGCCAATAGCTTTCATTTCCTTTGATGCAAAGAACAGCTCTTTTACTGAAATTCTCCAGGGCTTAAATGATTCACACTTTGGGTTTTTCCCTTTGACTTGGAGCTTTAAGAAGTCAGGAAATGGGTTGCTTTTCCCATCATTAAGCAGCCGTACAGTCAGGTGGTTAGGTAAGCAGGAGGTGGGACCGCTCTTCAAGGTAGGCATAAAGAAATCCAAAAGGCCACTCTGCAAATTTCCAGTGAATAATATGGCTCTGCTCATCATGTTTCAATATTAAGTGGCAGTAGTGCCGGCTATTCAACACCCACAGCCCAGAAAGTCTTGTGCACCTCACCAAGGTTTGCCGCCTGTTGCCAGAGGCACAGACTTCCACTAGACACTCAAATCTCTCATTCCTCAAATAGTAAGCTCTGTTGCTTTTTTTTTTTTTTTGCCCAAAATGTTGCTGCTTCTCTGCCATTGTCAGGAACGGAAAAAATCGTCAGCCAGAGTTTCCTGATATTTTGGTAGTGGGTAGCTGAAAAGCTGGTTTAGCCACCAGCCAGGAAACGTTAAACCACTTGCTTAAAAAGGGAAAAAAGCGCAAGTGCACCAATCTAAAATTCAATGAAAGAAGAGTTTGGCTGGGGGTACATTGCTGAAGTAGCCAGAGTTCTGTAAGAGAGGGGAAGTGAATTGGGAAAGTAAAACTAAGTGCGCTCAAGAACACTGGGACAACCTAAAGAATAAAACTCTTCCTTTCCAATTTGCTTAATTATATCACATAGGCACTTCATTCAATTTTCAAGTTTATTTTACCTTTACAAGAGGTCACAATCAGAAAACTTGTTGAAAATATTAAAAAAAAAAAAAGAAGGGTTGTCCTGGTTTCGGCT